AATGAGGTGAAATAAGAGAATGAAGAAAATGACAAGATGAAAAGAAAGAGAAGTAGATGAAAGAGGTGAAGGAAGTAAATGAGGTGAAGGTAATGAAGGAGTTGATGGGCGTAAATGACACGACGGAGGTGAAGAGAAGGTTCGGAACCGAACCAGTTGACGAAACTGTTCGAGGAGAAACAATTTATGTAAGTGGTAGGCTCTAAAGGTAAAGGATGTAATGCAAAGGGTAAAGACTGTTAATGAAAGAACGAGAAGAAGGCGCAGAATGCAGTGGTGGAAAAGATGAGGAGCGGCTGAGACATTGGCGGCATAGGAGCTGTACACAATGGTGGCGGCGCATCGCCACTCGTTATCAAGTTCTTGCGAAGGATGACGGGGAATCTGCGCCTGCCGTACAACAGCGCTCCGCCGGCGAGAAAAAACATTCCTTAGCTACCTAAGGATTGACGGTGAATATTTTCACTAAAAAACGCGTATTCTGTTCATGCTTTGGGAGTCAATACTGAAATTTTCTGAAAATCAATATTTGCGTACCTCTTAGGCACCTAGAACTCGTGTGAATTTGTGATTTCGGGAATTCATAATTTAATTTTATAAATTGTATGAAATAATTAATGAAATATTTAAGTTAAGAAACCGATAATTTAATTAGTCTTGAACAAATTTATCCAAAGTAGACTTGACATTCCATTTTTAATGTTTTGCGGAGCGATCGTGTCACAAAATTATAATTGAAAATTCCTGTATTGGTATTTTTTAAACTTAAATATTACGTTAAGATGAAGACCTACACGTTACAGGTGGATAAAGATGAAGCTAGTTCAACGCAGAATTTAGGAATGGATCTTATTCTTCGCTTAGCTTTGTTTTACCTTGGTATTGTGTCGTTGGTGGGAAATATAAACCACTGACATTTTATATAATCCTCTTAATTGTCGATTTAATCCGTCACTTAGGAAAATTAACGCTTTTCACGAACTCTACGAAACATTTTGTCACAATAAAAGTTCAGTAACAATAAATGGTTTGGAATTGAAGCATTATTAGTAATTGTATTAACTCGTCTTGCTGCTCTAGAAGGAAGCCATCACATTACACGAGGCATATCTGCTTCATTGCATTTTGTGCTTCTCCTTTGAATGGAAAATTGAGGTAACCTCTTCGCAGAAAATATTATTCTTAAAGAACACAACATGGATACATGTATTTTCTAGTATTGTTAACCCATCTCATAAGTTGAATAATATTTTCATAATTTATTTCGACTCATTTGAATTTGGGAGAAAAGGAAAAGTAAATCTTGCAACACTCGTTAAAATTAAATGGCACACAACTTCGCTTAAAACAGTAGTGTACTGAAATGTCAAGTTAATTCTTAACACCGGTATAATTGTTCAATAATAAATTAATTTACATTTTAATTGAAACATTGAGTTTTAATTATTTCATTAGTCATAGACAACACTTACGTAATGGCTAGTAAATTGTAAACGTCAATAAATGCATTGAAAAATCTGGTTACTTACAATTTATCATTTTTTACTTATTTTGAACTAGCAATATTTCAGTATGTTTACAGAAACAATGTTTCAAAACAATAATCATTACCAATGGAGGTGGCTCAGGGCATCAACTAATGTCACTGCAGTGCCTCGGATTGGAAGATCCTAGTTTCGAATCCGGACGGTGGCGAACGTTTGTCACCAGCTACACTTTTAGATAGAGTCCAGCTGCTGCCTGAAGAAGAATTCTAGCGTCCGGATACTCTGATCGATATTTTTTCGTGGTTTCTCTGATCAATACCAGACGAATGCAAGAGCAGTACGATAACAAACAGGCCAAGGATCGTGCGCAATCTTCCCTTCCTCTTCCAAGTTCTAATCTCTCCTCTTACACATACTTTCATTGACATGTATCTCACTACCACACATGACGGCAGACCAGTCGGGAGCTTAGAGCTTGTCCCGGCTGGGGCGGTGCCCCGCTGGTGGGAGATATCTGAATAGAAAAAATCTCACACGCCGACCTGACGCTTCGGGTCTAGTCTCATCATCGAAAGCGGAAAAAGACCGCCTCTTCCCAAGATAAAAAACACGCACTACACTTACGGGGTGGATGACAATGACAATTTCACATCTGGAAACACTGAATAATCAATTATGTTTCATTCCAAATACAGCAAACACGTCTCACTCACCAGACCTGATGTTGAAGTGCAATTGCATAAGATTTGCCAGGATGCAAAGTAGGCACGCAGACACGTTTGCACAAAGCTCTTTGAGCTGGAGGAGGCGCAACGTTGCTTTCTCCGTGCC